AAAGGAAAGGAAAGGAAAGGAAAGGAAAGGAAAGGAAAGGAAAGGAAAGGAAAGGAAAGGAAAGGAAAGGAAAGGAAAGGAAAGGAAAGGAAAGGAAAGATCTGAATGCTTGTCTATGACTTAAGCAGAATTGATCTGGTTAGGTGAAACCCTCTCTGTGAGACAGTGCCTGGGATGTTTGGGAATCCTTTGGGAAACACTGCTGCAGACATCACCCTCTGCAGTCATTCTCTGTGACCTAGGGCTAATCTAAGAAAGAAATCTGGTTGTTGAAGGCATCCAGGGATGTAGTAATACAAACTAAAAGATATGAAAGAGGTAGGAAAAAAAAGAAACAACAAAAAAAAATAGGAGGAGGAGCTAAAGACACCAGTCAGCCCAGAGGGTGTTGGAGCAGCTGGACACAGGCTGGCCACCTCAGGGCTGCTGAACCCTCCTGCATCAGAGCAACAAAACCCTCCTCAGAGAGGGCAGTCCCCCCTGAGGCAGGATCAGGCCAGGCTGAGAACACATTCACCAGGAAAGGACTGCTAATTCTCATTTCTGAGGGCTGAGGATGCTGGCTGTCGAAGATGGAGACCTCTCTCCCTCTGCACACAGGTTTTAACAGGGCAGCCTGGGCTAGGGCTGCTCGTGGTCCAGCATGGGGACACAGGGACGCTGTGGGTGAGCACTGAACCAGCTCCTGAAATGCAAACCCTGCTCCTTGTCCCTGCAGTTTCACCTCACAGCATCTCAACCCCCTGCTCTGCTACCTGAGTTATGCTGGGAGGTTCCTGCTACTCACCTCTCTGTTATCTCTGTCTGCTTGGACCAGGATACCCTTAAAACAGGGCTCGATAAAATGAACATAATCATTGTACTGCAAAGAGAAAACAAAAAGAAAGGGGTTGTCTTGGGAGAAAATTCACAAAATGGGTTCATTGCCTAGGTGGGCATTCAGAAAATGGAGCATTATGCCATTTTGTATCTATTTCCCTTCAAAATTGTTTATAGTGATCATGGCAAAGTAGGACTTCGATAAATCTTCTGTTTGTTTGAATAACACATTAATTAAAAGTTTGCTGAGCTGCAGCTGAGCACATCTACACATACAAAGTTACTTCCCCCCCACCCTCACACCACCAAGTTTTTATCTTCACTTTATGAACTTGTATCCCTGGCCTTGCTTCCAGCATTTTTTTTGCAAGGAGTTTTGACTTCTGGAGACTCTGTGAGCCCCCAGCCAGCAGCTGAACCCTGTTTGCAGCCTCTGAGCAAGAACAAACCAGGCCAGCACACATCCAGTGCACTGGGATAATGAGGGGAGAGGATGATTCTGGCCTGCTGCAGGTGAGATAAAGCTTGGTCAGACCCCTGTGAACCTCCTCCTGCAAGGTTCAGGAGAGTGCAATTCCTAAGAGACCACTCAGCTGATCAATAGGAGCTTAGGTCAGGCTTTAATGTCTCTGAGCCAGCAGGTTCTTGGTGTGAGTGCAGTAAAGGAATATAAATATATATATATATAAAGCATGGTATTTCTGAGATTGTTTTTGAAGAGCAGATGATATTTCAAACTCCTTAATGACTCTCCCCCCCTCCCCATTTTTCTGCCAACACTGTTCACTCTTCCATCTGCCCAGTCATATAAAGACAGAATTGTTGCCACTGGAGTTTCTAATTAGCTAACATAAGAAGCTAGCAACAAAAAGTAGAATTTATATCTCAGTGGCTGTGCCCTGGCAAGCTATCATAGAAGGAAGCCTGGGGAAGGAGATGGTGTTTGAATTAGCTTTGAAAATTAAAAGGTGAGGAGCCTTTAACGTGGCACCAGTCTTGCTATGAGCCATGGAAAGAAGTTTTGCTTTCTGTGGTCAGTGGTGCTGGTTCTGTGTGGGTAACCAGCCCATCCTCACCCTGCCAGGGCTCAGAAAGGAGGAGAGTAATGCTGAGGCTTAGCCCAAGCCCCAGGCAGGCCCAGCTGCAGAGCTGGGAGTGCAGCCTTGCAGGATGCTGTGCACAGAGGCACGTGGTGGTAATTTTCTAGCCTGGAAGGGTTATCCTGAGGATTACACTGCTGCTGCTGGACCCAAGCACAGCCTTGTGGCAAGCTAGGTGAATTATTAGCTCAGGTCCCTGCTAGCTCAGGGGTCTCCCTGCAGCCCTTTGTTATCTGCTGCACTTGCACCCCTAAGAGAAAGAGAAGAGGCAGCCACCCTGCTGAGCACACAAAACTGCCTTCCCAAGGGGAATTTGGGTGGATCCCTCATCCCACAGAGGTGCTGCTGTAGGCAGGTGACTGAGATTTGCTGAGGGGAAGCAGGAGAGGCAGCAGGGAGGCAGCTCAGCCCCGGAGCAGAGGCAGACATACTGCAATGATGTTGACAAAGTCGTTTTCTCCCAGAGTATCCAGAATGGTGACGATGGTGTGCTTGGCAATGGTCATCCTCAGGCCCTTCATGCTGCCACTGACATCCACAATGATGACAATGTCCTTGGGAGAGGTGGCTGCCTGGATGTACCTGCAGGGCAGAGAGGGAAGCAGGCTGAGAGCGGGGAGGAGGAACGCTGGATACGCCACTGGCGCCACGTCTGGGGTGGCAATGCAAGATGGAACCAGAAGGATGTGTTCTATCACCAGCTGTTAAAACCAGCTGGGGCACTGTTCTTTATCTCTCCCACCACCCATCCTCCCTCCAAGGGGAAATCTGCTGTTCATGGGCCATTGAGTCTCACTGCAGGACTGATAAAATTCCATCATCCATTGGGAGATGCTCCACCCAGGGGCAGGAACCAAGCATTCCTACCTGGATATAATCTGAGATTTGGAACAGCACAGCAGCCTTTCTGCACTGGATGCCAGAGGAAAACAGGAGCCATCTACAGCCCTGGAGCTTCAGAGGAGAACTGCACCCTTCTACAGGATCTGTGCTTCAGCAGAACCACATCTGTCACTGCAGGAGAGCTGCAGCCACCATTTAATGGGACTGCTACCAACAGCCTGCCCAACAGGGTGTCAGGTTGTATCCTGACTCTTGTCAGTGGTGGTTTTTTATTGGTTTTCTTTTTTGTACTACTGCATTTTAATTTTCCTAGTAAAGAACTGTTATTCCCATCCCCATATCTTTGCCTGAGAGCCCCTTGATTTCAGGATTATAGTAATTGAGAGGGTGGGGGTTTTCATATTTTCCATTTCAAGGGAGGTTCCTGCCTGCCTTAGCAGACTCCTCTCTTTTCAAACCAAAACACACCACGTGCACCGTGAGCACAGCTCCCAGCAGCAGCAGGCCAGCTCCCTTCCCGTGCTGGGGAGTGCTGAGCCCTCTGCAGACACCCAGAATGACAATTGTTGAAGCCTGCTGAGCTTTAGCCATGCTGAGCAGGCTGAGTAAACACCCCACAGCTCTGCAACCTCAATATCCCCACCTCCCTTTCACAGAGGTGCCATTTTCACGTGGCACGTGTTGGATGCCACAGGGAAAAGCTGCTGCTGGCAGGGCTCCCTATCCTGCTATCACCTTTGTTCAGGTGCCCCCATCTCCTGCAGGGGCACCACAGGGCATTCATTACTGATCAGCAACTCACCAAGGTGTCACCCTGGAGAGGAGGGAGAGAGGAAGGATGAAAGGTGCTTTGGCCAAGCCTCTCCAAAACTTACCAGCCACGGTTTCTGCAGTCAAAGGAGATGACTCCGTTCTCATCTGGTAACCACTTTATTCCTGGAGAGAGCAGTGAGAGGAGCAGTCAGCACACACAGGCAGGCAAGCACCTGCTCCCTGCTCCCCAGGCACTGCTGCTGCTCCCTGCCCAGCCCAGGCCAGCCACAGCAGTGCCCATCCTGCACAAAAACAAATGGAGCTGCTGGGGCTTTGACAGCTCTGAGTAAACTGTTTATTAAACTTCTCTTTAAAAAATGTACCTGGGCATAGTCTGTGCGAGCTTGGGAAGCAGCTGCTTGCACTTTGAACTTCTTGTGGTTCTCAACAACAGATTATTTTTCTCCCAGAGGGTGGTTGAGAGCATAAAAAGGAAGCAGCAGTGACAGGGAAGCATCCCAGATTCCCTGCTACAGGCTCTGATCACAGCCACCTCTGCTCTCCCCTTGCCCAGCACGTGCCAGGCCACAGAACAAGGGCATGCAGCCTTCTGACCGAGTGGCCACCATCCAGTCTGCAGCTGCAGAGCATCTCATGGGCTCCTGTGAGCACAGGACAGCCCTGCTCTGGTGTCCTGAGAGCTTTTTGGAGGACCCCTGCCAGCAGACTCCTCTGGGGTCACACGAGCAGCGTGCCTGAGTGGCTGGTTCTAATGAGAGAGAATGGTTTATGCCTGCAGAATGCTTCCTCCAGCCTCATCAGCACATGCAGGAGGGTTTTGCTCACTTGGGATGCCCCCAGACTTCCCAGATTGGGCTCTTCTTCCGTGGCACAGACCCTGTCCTGCAAAACTCTTAATCTCTACTCTTTTACCTGGGTACAGCCTGAAGAATCCGGTGGAGCTGCCAAAGTACTGCCAGGTCAGTGTGGGATCCCTTTCAAAGTTGTCCACAAAAATCGGATTCAGGGCTTCTGACATGTAAACCCCATTGAGGATGTCCGGGTCTGAGGGGGAGAAAAGCGTGTCAAAGGAGGAAGGACCTCCACCACCCCTGCTGGAGGAGAGGGATGGGAACAAAGGCAGCTCCAGGAGGAATGCAGCCTCGTCTGAGGGTTTTACATGTGGCTCTTGAGATGCAGCTGCCTGATGCATCACTGACAGCCTTCCTACAAGGCCTGACCAAATTAATGCTGGGTGTAATCAGCTGAGACAGAAGAGCCCTGGGATTTACACAGTTGTGCTCTCTCTCCTCTTTCCTCATCAAATCTTTCTTTCCTTCTTTGCCTGCCCCTTCCTTGACAAAGCCTGGGCTGTCCAACCATGCCCCCATCCCCTCAGAATCGTCAGGAAGCTGCAGACCCCAAGAACTCCCAGGAGGCAGAGAATATTTGGTGTCTGTGTTGACTCACAGCCTCAGGAGACCAAAGAGAGCAGCAGCTGTAGAAACAGTGAGTCAGGAGAAACTGGGCACTGTAGGATTTACTGCATTGGTGTGGAAAAGGGTGGGGCTTTCACCTAGTAACTAGTAAAGTTAGTAGCTTTACTAAAGGCAGTTTGGGTCAAAATGAGGGAAAAATGGAATTGTGACTGCCCAGGGATGAGGCCAAAGCAAGTCCAAGAGAGGTTTTCCAAGAGCAGATTGTACCCCAGCCCTGTCACAGTGACAGCACAGACGTGGCTGGGTCCCCTAGGACAGCACATTTCCAACCCTGCCTTTTTTTGTTTGTTTGTTTTTCCCCTGTCAGTTGTTATTTTTCTATTCCCATCCTTGTCTCCAGTATTACTGCAGATAATTTCCCCTAAAGGAGTGAGAAAGCAGAGGCCATTACCTTTGTTGTAGACATTGGTGGGCAGCTGGATATCGCTGTAGGTTGTGTTCACCAGCAGGTTATTGAAATGCTCATTTGGCTCCAGAATGAATTCATCCCCAAGCTCCACGTAATTGTCATTTTCATCCTTATCATTAATCAGGAGAGAGTTGTAGTAATCAAACTGTTGATGAAGACAATGGAAAAGAGAAAGACGAGGAGAGAACAGGACAGACTGTTACCAGCACTGCCAGGGGGGAAAAAAACACTCTTTAAAACAAAGAAGGGACATATGGAGAATCCTTCAAAGAGGATCAAAATGAGCCACAAACAAGCTATTACCCACTGAAAGTGTCAAGCTGCTCAGATGATGGTTTCTGGCCAGTTTGTGGTTGCCATGTGCCCATTGAAGGCACTGCCAGTGCCAGGAGCATTGCCTGAGAGCCCCTTAGGACAGAGGGACAGGGGGCAGGGTCCTGTGGCCCCTCAGAGGTGTTTGGGGGATCAGCTGGAAAGGAGCAGTGCCTGCAGGGTCTGGCTGCCAGGTTTAGCACAGGACACAGCACTGACCTCTCCTGCCCTGTCTCTGCAGCTGTCCCTCCCTGAGTTAACTCCTGCTGGACATCCAGCCAGGATTATCCCCTCATCCTGTCACTCCAAGCAGCGAGAGCAAAGGATCAAGCAGAAGGTGCTCAAAGACAAGGCAGTGTCTCCCCACAAGCTGTGAAGGTCACTGGGGATTTACCATCCACAGGCACTTCACTACATTCAGGGAGCTCTTCGTCCTCAGATAACCCTAAGGTGGTTTTGCTGACTTTACCTGAGCCAGAGGTTAGGTAAGGATTAGTGTTCAAGCACTAGGGTGCAAAATCAGAGTTGTGTACCTCAACTCACCCATGGCCCTTACTGTGAAGGCAGCAGGCCCAACTAACATGACTAGAGGGACTCTTTAAAATAAAAAAGGGAGAAAAAATGAGATGAAATTAGCAGCTAGCTTGATTTCAAGAGGTGTTTTCATTTTTTTTCCCCAGCACTGAGACATGTGCTTGCAGGGGTGGCCTGTCCTGCTAAGCTGTGCTTGCACTGTGGACAGAGGATTCCTTCCACAGCCCCTTCACTCCAGCTCCCCTCACCAGCAATAATCCCATAGCTTGGCCACAACAAACTGTTATTAACAGAAAGCCAATTATCCAAATTGCTTGGACAGCACCAGACTTTCACCTTAAGGGAAGTCCTGACAAGTGGGTGTCTGTCTGGTACAGAAAAGATGATGGGAGCTGTTAAGAAAGATGGTGAGAAACTCAGTTCATTTGGTTCATGAAGGGTTCATGTGGGTATTTGTAACAGCATCCTCCTCATTGTTCATTCACACTCAATTTTTAGCTCATTTTCCAGTCAAGTAACCCACAAAGTGCCAGCTAATTTGCACTGAAATGTCACAGTGTTGGCTGTGCAGTAAAAGTAACACCAATAATATTATGCAGCCCCATGTCTTCCCAAATCCTTCCCCTCCCAGAGGCAAAGGGACCAATCTGCTTGGTGTTGCTGGGTCTGGGATGTGCCAGGGATGTCTCCTGCTGGCAGGACCAGCCGAGTGTCCTGCAGGGAAGGCAGCTCCTGGCTGAGCCTGCCCCGTGCCACGTCTGGTCTGTGGCCAGGGTGAACTCACCTCCAGAGAGGAGTTGTACTCGTGGTTCAGATCTGCATCTTCTGCTGCTTCCACCAGCCTCTAAAGCAAGCACACAGAGACAGAGGGTGAGTGGGTGCTGTGGCAAAAGCCCTCCAGATGTTCCCCCAGCTGTAGCAGCCTCCTTCACCACAACCAAGCCTGGGGTTATAATCTTCCCTCTTGCCCTCCTCTCCTGGCGTTCTGTGCTGTGATTTTACAGCTTGGAAGATACATTATTTGCAGCTGTTTACTGCCAAGTGCATTCACACCCCCTTACTCCAGAGTCCCTGCTAAACCCCTGAGCAATTTTAGGTATCACAGGACGTGTACAAACAGAAACAGGTCCGTTTAGAGAAACAACAGACAGACTTAATTTCATTTTCCATGAACCCTTCCAAAAGCCATGGGAAAAGCATTTCAGCCCCAGCTTGATGTCAGTATCTCATCAAAGGAAAAGCCCTTGTGGGAGCCTCAGTCTGGTATTGTTACTGAGACAAAGACCATGCCTGGATTTTGTAAAGGGCTCGGTGATGCTGTGGCCATTTGTAAGCTCTTCCCATTTATGGAAGGCAATAAAATCAGCCAGTTTTCTCCAGTGTGATGCTTCAGGGCACTAATTCCCAATTGGTCCAGACTGGGAAGGGATCCAGCTAAACACATAAGTGTTTTTGGGGCTGCACAATCAGCAACAGTCTCAGCAAAACTACATTTTGCTCCCTCACAAAGGATAAGTCAATCCAAACACTGGAAAAGTCTGGCCAAGAATTTAATGTTATGGGCCAAAGCTCCGGGACTAAATATGCCCACATTTCACTTTTTGATTCAAATGATGTGTTTCTGGATGACTTTTCCACATTAGAAGCCTTAAACAGTCAAGGCTCTGTGACTACAGAAATATGCTTTTCATAGTAGGTAAATACAGGGGAATATGATGGATCCTTGGATGCAGGAAGCAAGAGGGGCCAGAACCATTACCTGCTCTGATCTCCCGCACTGCAACAGCTACAGACCCCTTGCCACCTCCTCCACACTTCCCCATGTACACAGCTGGAAATCCAAGCGCCTTCCTCGCAGCCTGTGCTCAGGAGGTGCAGAAATTCCCCTCGAGCCACACACACAGCTGAAACAAGCCCCTGGTCTCCAGCAGCCAGAGCCCGCTCTGGAAGGATGAACCGGGTTTTTCACTTTGGAGAGGTTTTCTTCCCCCTCCCTTTTTAAGCAGCCTGTCTCCTGCAAGAGCTCTCCTTCCCTCGTATTTATTCCTAGACTTTGTTTTTGTCTTCTGTTCCCATCTGAGCGGAGGGAGAAGCCAGCATCCCCTTGTCTGAGCGCCCACATCCTCCCACCGGTGTCTGCTTGGAGCTCAGCGCGAGCAGCCAGCGGCACCAGCAGCTGCCTGCTCGGGCAGGGAAGTCCTCACACAACCCCTGCACCCACACTCTGCTGGGCAGCCTGTGCCTGCTGCCCCAGGGCTGGCAGGACACCAGCTCCTCCCCAAAACCCCTCGGGTCATACCTCAACAGCTTCCACCTTCCTGCGGAGCATGCTCTCCATCTGCTCCGAGAACTTCTTCACCAGCTCCAGGCCGTCCACCTCCTTGATTTTCAGAGTTGGCTCCACGTCTTTGTACTTCTACCCAAGGGAAAGAAGGGAATCCTGCTGAGCAGGAGGCTCTCAGGGAGAGGGATGAAGCTGTTATTGCCAGCTGGGTATTGTCTTTGTGTTGAAACAACCTTCTCCCACTTTTGCCTTTCCTGGGTGTGCAGATCAGTGGCTCTAACTCAAAGCACTCTGACCACGTAAAAACCAAAACTGATCCAACTGTGAGCTTGTGGCTGCTGGAAGCAGCAATGCACCTGAGGCTATCAGTGCCCACAAATTAGAGAGAGAAGCAGAAGGCTGACTTTAAATAAGCTGAAGTGTGTGCTGTGATGAGAGCCACACCAGGGTTACACACATCTCACACCTCCAGCCGGCTCAAGGCAGAGGGGATGGAGCTGTGTGCTGCCATGCAGCTCCTCCTGGGCCACACGTGCTCTGGGGAGGGGTCCTGGCAGTGCAGGGGCTGCCCAGAGCCACCATATCTCTGGGGGAACTTGCCAGGTGTCCAGCAAGAAGGGTCTGCTCGGAGACTGCCAGGGAAAGCTGAGATAAAACAGCTATGGTGCCACTGACTGGGCAGCCAGGAGCATCATTTAGGCCAAGAGGCAATTCCCAAAACCTAGGAACCGTGAGCATGCTGCTGCCTCCCTGCTGCTGTAATGAGGAGGATCTAGATCTGATCTCTTTATCAGCTTCAGAGATAACCAGTTTATTCTCACCACGTTTCATATAACATAGGAATTTAAAAAAAAACCCAGGAGTACATCTAAACTCTGTAACCATAAACTGCCTCCTTAAATCTGCTCTTTTAAGACTGGATACAATGGTCTTTATTTCTCCTTTCCAAAAAATCCCACAGCTAGCAAAGATAGCCAGAAAGAAAGAGCAAAGAAACCCGTGAAAGGACACAGGATGATGAACTTGTTTCAGAAAAGACAGAGCCTGATCTCCTGAGCAGAGTGGAAACACAAAGGCAGCCAATTGCAATTCCCTGGTCCCTCATGGTCTGTTTTGTCTGCAGTGTGTGCAGCCCCCCTCCATCCCCACCTTGTGTCAGCATCCCAGCAGCAACCCCAGCCAGGGCTGGGCTTCTTGTGCTGGGCAAAACAAAAATGAGGTGGTGAAAAGGGCAAGGAGATGGCAGGGCATAGATGTACAAAGCACATGCAGTGAGAGACTTCCCCAGGGTCAAAGCTGCTCAGGTATAAGCAGTTTATTATTTGGGGAGAGGGAGGAAAAGACCCAGTTCCACACCAGCCACGGAGTGCACGTGGTCAGGGAGGGAGAGAGAGAAGGAGAAGGGAGTGAGAGTTAAGAGAGGTGAGGGTAAGAGAGGGTAAAAGAAAGAGCAAGAGAAGCATAGAAGTTAAGAGTAAGAGGGGAGAGGGGATAAGGGAATAAGAGTTAAGAGAAGGGAATAAGAATTAAGACAGTGAAGCTCTTGTTACAATACATTATATCCTTTTCTATAGTGAATATTCTAATTCCCAGTATCCAACCAGTACATGACACACATTCTATAGAATTTTACATATAGCCTAGAAGAACTGCTACATTACCATACAGTGTTACATTTTAAACTCTAAAAGCTACTCTTCAAATTCTTCTCTTGCTGCTTTTGACTTCTGGATTCTCTATCAGCACAAGGGTATTGTTCTACCAACAGGGATTCTCCTTCAGCTGGCTAAACTATTGTTCCTTGGTTATACAGTCACTAGCACTCAGTATCCTATGGCTCAAAGCTGGATTTCATTTCTATTTCGATTCCAGGTTTCATGTTTTCAGAATCTTTTGCTAAACAATCACATTCATCAGGTTTCCCTGTCTCATCCTCCCCAACAGCAGGGGCTCAGGTCGCTTTCCAATTCCAGGGAAGAGGCAGGGAAAGGACTTTGCACGTGTTCAGGGTGAGCCCACGGAGCCCCTTTTGTCCAAGAAGCTCCTTGACCGTCCAGGGGCTTGGCTGGGCAGGGGCAGAGGAGGAAATGTCTGGAGGCTGGGGCAGGCTGAGGAGGTCAGACAGAAATAGCAGCAGCATCCAGCCCGCAGCGGGCACGCCAGGGAGGCTGCTGATTAACAGCAAGGATTTTACTGGATTAAAAACGCCAGGCCTGGCCTCCCCTGCGCCAGGGAGCTGGGACAGGCAGCCAGGGCAAGCAGGAGGAGGAAGAGGAGGGATTGAGGAGGAAGGTTGGGGTAAGCACGCTGCCAGAAGAGCGATGTGCAGCCACCAGCCCCGAGCGCGGTCCCTGGGCGGTGAGGAGACCACAGCAGCCACCCTGTGCTGTCTGTCCCTCCAGCTCCCTCAGCAGCCTGCATCTGCCAGGACAGAAGTGATCTCTGCCAGGCTGGCCTTTAATCAGCCTCTGCTCGGGGGGAGAGGGTAATCTCTGCTGGGAGAGCTCAGCAAGGGGGGGACACAGCACACGCTGCACAAAGTGACCTGCCACCCCCTCCCTCCACAGCAACAGGGCTTTCCCCCCTCTCAGCTCAGTTTTTAATGTGCTTTTGGCATTCTCACAAGAAGATGGTACTGGGGTGAAAGGAATAATGAGAAATCACAAGCAGTCTGCTAATGGCATACACGTCTCAGCCCTGAGATCCAGCCAGAGATGGGAGATAAAAAAATCCTCCCAAAAAAACCACCTTTCTACAAAGTTCCCTAAGGAATGCACCAGGTTTGAGCTCAAACCCTGCTTGAGGTTTTTTCCTACAAATGAACCAGCAAACCACTTAGTGCCTGTTTTCCTGCCACGGATATCTCTGGCTACTGATGATTATTCATCCAGGATTTTCTAAGGGTGGGCAGCAGAGCTGTGATTTCCATACTGCCACCAGACACCACGGCTGAGAGTCAGCCCAGGTGCTTGGAGCTGGCCAAGATTATCCTGTAAAACCTGTGTATCAGATCACTCTAAGTTACAGAACAGGAGTCAGGCTTGGGAGGACTGGCTGAAAGGATCTGATGTTGAAAAGAGGCCAAAAAGTTAGCTCAGCTCTAACAGAAAACCTTTTCTTATTCATCTAGCACTTAGCATTCCCTTAACACAGCAGGAGCATTTCATTAAGATTCCCCTTCTGCAGTGACGGGGGTGGTGATTTAAAAGTAGAATATCCAGAATTCGGTATCCTAAGTTTTATCTGTGAACAGAGATATGTCACCAAATATATATTCTTGTTCCCACCTCCATAAAATTCAGCCTATTGAAGTACACAGTGCTGCATTACTCACTGAGAGTGGAACTAAATTAAGAGTGTGAAAGACATTCCTTTCATCTTCACCCAGGAAAATGTCTTGACTGAACTTCTCAAGTTTTGCCTGTTCTTTGCCATGTTTTTTGGGCTTTCTAATAACAGCAGGGCAAAGCTCTGATAAGCTCAGAGTAAAAGCTTGCCCTTGGGGATTCAAGTTAGCTCACCAGCTCTCTGGGAATGATATATCCTGGTAGGAACTCGACTACTTGAGTTTGCAAGATGATTTTAGGGTTCCTCTGGAGGAAACCAACAAAAAGTCGAAAAAGCACTAAGCAAACTCAAAACCACAAAAGGAAGTCAATGCCAAGTATTAAAGACAAATGCATGCAAAGCATTCAGCAGCTGAAAAATGATGACTCTCACAGCAACAACAAGCTGGTTACTTCAAGACTATTAGGGACAAGGGAGACACAAAATAAGATACAAAACTGAGATAACAGCTCCTTCTGTATTTCCTCAAAGACAAAACTCTTGTTGGCTTAGACAAGCACTGAGAAAAGAATGGCCTGGACCTCCCCACCCTTCTGCTAGTCTGGGCACACCCAAAAGAGAAATATTTGATGTGAAAAACAAGCCATAGCCCAAAAACCAGAAAGGTGCCTGGGGAGCAGGTGAATCCTTGTGTTGAATTTCCAGACCTTGGTGTGTTTGGCTCCCCAGGTCTAACATGCCCACGAAATGAGATGATCTACATAAAGTTATTTGGGGTCTGCCAGGGTGCATGAAAACAGTATTTTATAGTAAATAAAATACTGCATCCCCTGGTTGTCTGCATCCTCTTGTAGTGCTGGAGGTGCCAGGGATACAGAGGGAGCCCTCTGGGATGGTCCCTGGGATGATGAACAGGAAGAAGGTGCCCAACTACCCAGAGCAAAGGGGGCTGAGAGAAAGACTGAAGTGAGCTCTGGTGCTTCTCCCATTCCCTCATTTCCCAGGGAAATATCAGGAGATGGAAAAGTTCAACAGGTGGGGCTGGGAGATAAATTTGAGCTGCTTAAACTGCTGAAGTGAGGGCAGAGCACAGCACAAGATGAACTGAGGAGATGATTCTTTGCTGGAGGCTGGCTCAAGCTCACCTGTAGCCCCTGCTCAAAGTGCCATTTCCCTGCTGGGTCACAGACACTTTGCCTCAGGGATCTATGGCCTGGGGACCCCAGGGGACAAGAGGCAGGGCAGAAACATCATCACAGCTGCTAAAAGCCCAACTTTAGCCTGCATCCACATCCTGCTGCAGCTGCCTCATGGTTAGTGAGAGAAGGGCCTCCATCAGGGCTGACAGCTTTCCATAGCAGGGTGTCTCTTCCCTCCCAGGAAGAGCTGATGATCAGCACAGACCTTGGTGGTGGGTGCTGAAAGCCTGTCCTGGTCAAAGTTAGTGCTGCAGGATATGATCCCTTACTCCAAGCAAAAATCTGGGGACAGGGAAAGAGAGCTTAGCTGCAGGGCAGGGGACACCCAAATCCTGTGTTTTTCTGGGATGTGGGCAGAATTGCTGATATGAGGACAGAAGTCAGACACCTGGAATGTGTAAGGGGAAACTCATGGCTTCTGGTGGAGAATCAGTAAGGAAAAATGTGGATGGCCACAAAGTGGAGCCTGCATTCCTTTGGATGCAGCCAGCAGCGCCCCAGGGCAGCTCTTGGGAGGTGCAGGGCAGAGATGCCCAGGTCTGAAGGAGGAGCAGCCATTCACCACTGACTCAGGGAAGCTTCTGTGCAGCTGCAGAAAGGCACCATTTGTTGAAAGCCCCTGGAGCTGCACCCTCAGATGCTGGTGGGGAGTTCACTGCAATATCACCTGTGAGCAAGCCAAGCAAAGCTCTGCCCACCCCTGGGCTTCCAGGAGCAGAGGCTGAAGGGCAAAATGCAAAGAATTGAGAAAAAACTGGCTGAATACAGATGAGAAAGGAAAAAAAAAATAAATTAGTGCCATCTGGAGGAACTCAGGAGGGGACAGTGGGGTGACAGTGAGCAGGTGAGTGATGAGGAGCAGGAGGAGCGAAGGCTCAGCTCAGAAGTGATCATCAGAGGGAAAACATGGGGAGTGCTGTGCTAAACAGTATTTTTAAGAAGAAATGGTACAACTGAGGTGTTCAGCACCAGCTGATGGAAGCAGGGAAGGTGCTGAATGGCTCTCCCTCTCCAGCTCATGGGGAATGGCCACAGGGCATCACTCTGGGCTCAGGGATAGGGAGATCCATGGTTTTCAGAGAGCTGCACACCAGTGTCTCATTCCTTCACCACCCTGGGGTGTCACCCTGAAAAATCAAGTTTTCTGCCATTGTTTTCATAGTTTCTAATCACTTTTCCAGGAGAGTGGCTATAAACATAAGTGTTTATACATTCCATTAAAGATATGCCTTTTGATGGATGTTCCTTATGGCCAGTGTGGTTGGGAAGGTGGTGACCTGACTATCCAATCCCTGAATCTATAAATACTGAAGTGACAGAATAAATCCTCCTCTTCCTCTACCACACCTTGAGTGGTGTCTGTGTAAATCATTTTGTGTCTGACAGTGGCACGGGGGGAAGCCCTGGAGGGGATGTGGGGAGGGGACAGGAAGCAAAGGGAACCCTGCCAGGTTTTGCCTACCTTCTGCAGCAGGAGAGAGCCTGAATACTTGGTGACAATGGAGTACAGCTCCCCACCAAAGGCATCTGCCCAGGACTTCACCCTAAAAAAAAAAAAAAAGGGCCAAAAGAAGGAAAAAGCGATGTTAACAATTCCAGGTCTGCAGAAGGGGTTCATTCTTCAGACAGGTAAATCTCCATCTTCCCGAGTACAAACCCCTGTAATTCTCTAAGCCCCTCCTCAGCACTGGGGATGCTTTGTGCCCAGACTGCAGCCAGGCCAGGAGAGAGGCAGTGCTGCTCTGGGACACTGCAGCCAGGACATTGTGAGCAGGGACAAGCACAGGGTTCTGCTGAATTTGTCCCAGATAACTTTGGATGCACAAATCCCGTCTTAGAGAGCATCTGAGCTCCTTCTGCTGCTAGCAAAGGGAAATAAATTGCTCTTCTGCAGACACCTATTTGTCTTCCCTGGCAGGCCCTGGGGTGAAGGGCTAGACACCCAGAGGCCAAGCTGCTGAAGAGAAATAAGTGTCAGGGTGTCATAATTCAGCCCTTGGATGCAGCTCCTCCAGCAGAGCAGGCCAGAGGCTGAGGAGGCAGAAGAATTCTCTGCCCTCACTCCAGAATGCCACAGCAGATGATGCACATTGCCATTGTAAATCACCCCTCACACTTGTGCCATCCTGGAAATAAAAGGTGGCAGAGATCTGGATGTGGAGGAGCAGTCTTGCTGGGAAGGATGAAAATTTAACAGAAAAGTTTTATAAATATGAATGCTTAGCAGAAGGTTCTTGGATATATAAAGATGTTTTTAGGGCCAGTTGTTGCTGAAACAGCTGAGAGAACAAAGGTTCAGTCGAGCTGGAAGGTTTAGAACAAAGGTTTAGTCAGAACTTTATGGCTAAAAGGTTAAGAGGTCTTGAAACAAAGCATGTTTGCCACCAAATAAAAAAAAACATAGGCAGACAAAGATGTTTTTTACCAAAGCAGGAAGAAGTTTCCACTGCAAAGCAAGTTTCAAGGTTTAACATGTAATTACTAACTCAGATGATTAGGTAGTCACTCACACAGTATGGTAATTTTAGCAGTTTAGATAGGATATATATATATATATATCTATCTATATATATA